CTTCTTCTTTTTTTGGCAGAACTGGGAATTGAACTCAGGCCCTTGCGCTTCCCAGGGAAGCGCTTATTCCACTAAGCCATCTCCCTGGTCCCTGCTTTCTTCTTTAGGTTAATTTTTACTAGTTTTTTTTTTTTCTTTAGCATTTCCTCCTATTGTCCTCAACACACTTCTTTCTGCTGTTCAGCACATGTAAGTCCATGGCTTTCAGCCCCAGTCTCTTCTCTGTCTCTCTCCTGAGGATTCCAGGGCCTTTGCACTGAGATACATTCTTTCTTTTCTTTTTTCTTTCTTTCTTTCTCTTTCTTTTCTTTCTTTCTTTCTTTCTTTCTTTCTTTCTTTCTTTCTTTCTTTCTTTCTTTCTTTCTTTCTTCCCCCTCCCCTCTCCTCCCCTCCCCTCCCCTCCCTTCCCTTCCCTTAGTGGTGACTATAATTACTTCAAGCAAGAAAGTACATTTTATCTGGAAAGTGCCACACAGATATAAAATATGGTTTATCAGATGACAACTGTATGAGTGGTGTTTTCATGAATATTATTTTGTTCTTACAAAAATCTTTTGGGGTGACACAGCAAATATTATCAATCCTACTTTAAGCATATAAGGAAGCTGAATAAACAATTATCAGAGACTTATGATTGCCAAGAAAAGTCACACATGTAAATATTATTACACAATGACATTAGCAATAATGTGGCATGTATAGATTTTAAGCATTAAATCTCTTCATTTCTGTAAGCCAAATGGGACTGTGAGCCATGGTGTTTCTTGGGCCTTGAAAGGTTCCTTTTTCCTCCAGATCCTACATTCATCAGCAAATGGTGTCAGGTCTTCCTTCAAAATAGAGCTCCTAACCGAATCTCATCCTCACCACTACCAAAAGACTATCACCAATTTTTGTTTGGATGACTGCATTCTTCACTAGAATTTTGCCAAGATGTCTCTTAAGGATGAAAACCTGATCACATTATTCCCCTGAAGCCTCTGTCATTCTACTTACCTTCACCCCCACCCTATTCCTGGTATCTGCCTCCTGCTTTCCCTATCTGCTGGCTTCCAGAGGCACCTCCCTTTATGGCCTTGATCACTCCTAGCTCATTACAAACCCCCTTTTGCTGTTCTCCTAGCTTATTTTATTTTGCTTTTTGTGGTACCAGGAATTGAGCTCATGCTCTTGTGCCTGCCATGCAGGTGTTGTGCCACTCACTGGGCTATATCCCGGGCCTTCTCCCAGTTTACAATATATTTCCCTTAGGACTTCATCCAAATCTTTTAGATTTCCAACCAAAAGAGCAGACAGGTGCTCCCTGAATCCTTACTTGAATAGACTTCCTGATCTCTGCTACTTTGTACCTCTTATTTACTGTTTGTTTCTTCCCTAGAAGGTGAGCATCAAGGGGTCAGTGACTTAGTCTTGTGTCTGTTGTATCCTGAAATTGTGCTTAGGACATAAAAGGTATTTTAAAAGATATGTATAGAACAAGTGAAGCAATGGTATGAATGCTTAAGTCTTGTTAGGGCCCAGGTGGCTTCTTGGTGATGGAATATGGACTGAGTGAAAAGAATGGTAGAGTGGGACCTACGATGGTCTCATTCAAATCTCAGAATACCTTGGGCAAGTCCCTCCACTCAGGACAGTGGGCATAAGGAAGTGAACATAGCCTTTGGAAGCAGCACTGGGGTGAAACTGCAGTTTGTTTTCTGTTTGGCTTTTTTCTTATCTTACCATTCTTTATTTGTATCCCTCTTCTAGAAAGAACCCTGGTTCCAAAGAGCATTAATAAATTTATTCATTTGCCTTATTCTACAACATAACAAGCTATTTTCAGAATCACTATGCTAATACCACCACTTCTAATAAGCTCACTTAGAAAAGCTCAACATTTCAAATTCTTTCTGAAAGTTCTTATATTTACAAGTGCTATATTTACAAGTTACATGAAGTGATTTTTTTTTGTGTGTGTGACTTTTATAAATAAACTGTTGATTTTAGGTTGAGCCTTTTGCTGTTGTATTTTAAGATTTGACTTCACCTTTTCTGAACTACTATTAAGGTATATGCATGCATGTTTGTGTGTGTTACTGGGCATTGAACCCAGGGCCTTCACACTGAACTACACACCACACTCTCTTTTTGGGACAAGGTCTCAGTAATTGCTAAACTGCTCACACTAGGCTTGATCTTGACATCCTCATTCCCACAGACTGCTGGTATTATAGGTGTGCACCATTACATCTGGCATCATTTTAATATTGTTGAGTTTGCACAATACTTATATGCATCAAAAGTGAAAATCACATAAAAAGGAATATTCAGAGAAATCTTGCTCACATCCTTAGCCATTCCACCTATCCCAAAATGCAGCCATTTCTATTAGTTTGTCCTTTTGTCTTTGCAAAGAGAATAC